TGTGTGTGTGTGTGTGTGTGTGTGTGTGTGTGTGTGTGTGTGTGTGTGTTCTGCAGTGTGATGACTTGTGGTTCTGGCTGTCAGGCTGCAGTCCGTCCTGCCAGAGGTCTGCAGAGTAAACGGTCCGTTTTGGGGGGTGTGAGGTGTAGTTTTCTTTTCTTGAAGTCAACAATGAGTTTTTTATTTTGTTGACTCTCAGAACCAGAGTATTTTCTCCACGCTAGTTCACGAGGCGTGCCACCTAGTCCCAGTATTCCTGACTCTTCCAGTTGCTCTCAGATCAGGCCCATACTGGATGATGTTATTGGTCACAGACCTACTCATGCAGTCGCAGGTCATCGGGGGAAGAGAAGTGGGCTCAGAACACAGCCCTGGGGGAGCCCGTGCTCAGGCTGAGAACAGAAGAGGTCGGACTGTGGTCTGTCTGAGTGGAGGTTGGATTATTGCACTGAATCAAACCTTTCAAAGAAAAAATCTTTGAACATAAAACTAGAAAAAATAGAAAATATTTGTTGAAAGACTTTAATTTGAAACAGTTTTAAATGTTTTTAGACATGAATGAAAAGAAACCAGTGAGTTTTATCTCTGATTATGTTTTTCTACAAAGAATCAAGTGTAGTTTGTCATGTTTCAGTGGAACCACGTCCTGATCCGGTCTGTTAAACCTGGTTGATGGMCAGCCCATAAATCCACATCTGCAACTAAAAGGAGACCATTTTCAGCACAAAGTCCAAAACCCTGATACAGACTGCTTGTGTACTGAGCAGAGGGGCTGACCCGCTCTCTGAACAGAACATTGTTGGTTCTGGTTTTATCTGCTTTCTAATTCACATGATAAACCTCTGCTGAATTCAAAACATTTAGATCCAGAGTCTGAAACTCAAACAGAACCACAACACGACCCAGATTTCTACACACAGAATCTCTTCATCATCCTGATCCAAATCAGATTACATCAGATTTTCCCTCATCTCTAATCCCGCTATGTGCCATTACCATGGCAACCGTTCACCTGACAGCTGGTTGGGGTCAGCAGCTGGTACCGGTCCTCAGAGTGAGACGGACCGGTCCTCAGAGTGAGACGGACCTGTGGATGCTGGGGTTTGTTCAGGACTTCCTTCATTTGATGGGAAATAAAACAAAAGAAACATGTAGTTGACTGGCTGCGCACCGTTTCCTGCAGCCAGGTGGGTGTGGTTCAACCAGGTGGGTGTGGTTCAACCAGGTGGGTGTGGTTTAACCAGGTGGGTGTGGTTTAACCAGGTGGGTGTGGTTTAACCAGGTGGGTGTGGTTTAGTCTCCAGTTCAATCAGCATATCAACCGGAACATTTTCTGAATTAGCTCCAGCAGCTAAACTGGCTAAACTTTAGCATTGTTTTAACAAAATATCCAGATGTGAGGTGACCTCCTCCCATTCTTTGCTGTCTATTTAAGAGCAGGCTCCTCCCTCCCTACTTTAACCACGCCCACCCGGCTAGCTTCTGTCAGCTGGGCTGCTAATGCTGAGCACTCAGTTTTTCTTAGTCAACTAATTCAAACAGTTGTATTAAACTTGCAGCACTAATCTCAAACTTTCTTGACCTGTCTGGTAACCATGACGATAAATTCTGACATCACTGTTTCTCAGGTGACTCATCATGACAACACAGCCAGGTGAAGTCCGGCCCAAAGAAGAGGCGTCTTTTCCTGAAGCTGCTGCCCACTCAACACCTAAACAGGTGAAAAGTCTTGAAAACAACTCTTCAAAAACCTTGATGACCTCTGCACTGCTGTCGAATGTGACATCACTTCCTGTGTCTTGAGGTAGGGGAGGGGGAGCTGGCTGAAAGCCACGCACAGAGCTCATTGGCTGAGGACTCAACCAGTCACCTTTCATCAGGCAGTCATACCGCCCGCTCTCCAGCCAAAACCCCTCTGAGCTTCAGAACGATGCAGACCAGAGTGACTTTACTGGACGGGTCACTGTTCACCTGTACTGTAGAGGTGAGACACACAAACACACAGACACACACAGACATACACACAGACATACACACACAGACACATACACAGACACATACACAGACATACACACAGACATACACACAGACATACACACAGACATACACACAGACATACACACAGACATACACACAGACATACACACACAGACACATACAC